CACGCAAACACACCCACACGCGCGCTCTCACACACGCACGCAAACACACCCACACGCGCGCTCTCACACACGCACGCAAACACACCCACACGCACGCAAACACACCCACACGCACGCAAACACACACGCACGCGCGCTCTCACACACGCACGCGCGCTCTCACACACGCACGCAAACACACCCACACGCGCGCTCTCACACACGCACGCAAACACACCCACACGCACGCAAACACACCCACACGCACGCAAACACACACGCACGCGCGCTCTCACACACGCACGCAAACACACCCACACGCGCGCGCACACAGCAGAAAAGAGAATAAGGGAGGAAAAGTGGCGCCCCCTTGATCGAGGAGAGCAGCTTTCACGGATTGGCCGATCGATTGCTGAATTCTAGGAAATTCACGATAGTGGTGGTCTCAGTAAACATTACAGCAACTGCATATAAACCAATTAGTTTGATCGTAAATTACTATATATAATAGTATAAACTATATGGATGTAATATATAACTATAATGTTATAGTGAGTCTATAGAAGCGTTATAGCTCGCAACTATCGGCATTTCGGTCCCACACTACCAGCAAGTCAACACCTAGGTAACGTTTACTATTTCCACGAACGGTGTTGTGGTTGGCTGACGACAGAACTAATAAATGAACTCCAATAAAACGAGGTTGATTCAACAACAAGTTATGTATGATTTGATGTTTTCAAGCAAACAGCCAGTCAACGTCAGGGTTTCAAAAGTCCAGTTTATTCAAATACAGAATAATTATCTATTCAGACACGGTTTTCTAGAACAGGTATTACTAAGAACATCTGTATCACAATTTTGGCTTATCTATACAATGTATTAGAACGAACCTACACATATTCAACATACAATGGCGTGGCACAATGCCATATAAATCCTACATGCTAGACTATGAATGGTATAAATATCGTATGATATTTATACATCCATTTCACCCAGTGTGAAAATCTGACCTAAAAATATGCTCAATCTTTTTTTTGTTGCCATACTGTGTTAATATCTTTAAACATAACGAGTGGAAGATAACGGCTTCATCCAATAGGCAAAGCACACGTTTAATCTGCAGAGATTGCTCTTCTTACGTCTGTAATATGGTATTATTCATGCATATATTGTAATACCCATTACCAATAGTATATAATATGAATAACTATAAATGATATTACGACACATCTAGCATTCTAGTGTGTAAATTAGCAACATCACAGATCAGGTTATATAATTTCGTTGAACGTACATTTCGCATCCCGAGTTTAGTGGTCATGATTTCCGAACTTCGCAAGTCAAACTTCCACAATGCTCGCTACTACCGATCTCTCGACGAGAGAATTAACGCGGGTGAACGAGAGACCACCGCACGACGCACCGGAAACTGCCGCGGCTATCACGTGTCAACGCTACGTCTTGCGACGAAACTTTCTCGCGTCTTCGCTTTCAACCGAACGCTCCTCCGATGATCACCAGACGGCGCCACCGCTCCGCCGCACGCTCTCTTACTTCTCGCTCCCTTGCGGGACAACCTCGTCCCCCTGCGGGCGGCGAACGAGTCGTCGTCTGCCGGCGCGGGCGGCGAGCAATCGCTGAACAATGCCGGCGACGCTGGCCTCGCTGTGCGCTCGGACATCCACACGCACTCGAGATCCGACCCTGCACAAGCGTCGTCCAGCAGCGAGGGACTGGACCTCCCGATGCCTCCGCCGCCGCCGCCGCCGCCGCCGCCGCCGCCATCGTCGTCATCGTCGTCCGCGTCACATTCCAGTACGACGACGGGCGGGTCGGCTTCGCGCGTGGCGGCCACACCGGACGTTGTCGTCACGGCGACGGATCGCGAGGCCGTCGTCGCGGCGACGGGTCGCGCATCCTCCGCGACGCTGACGTCGCAGTCTTCCATGTCCGTCTCGTCGTCGCTTGATCGTCGACTCGGAGTACCGGCGTCGCCGCGGCAACCGTCAACGCGCGCGAGCGGGGGCGTCGTCGAACCGCCGCCGCTCTCCGCAGACGACGGCGAGTCGCCGTCGCCGAAGCGTTGCTGGCCGCTAGAGGGCGCTGTTCGTTTGCCGCCGACGTCGCCGGCCGGTGCAGCTTCGCTCGTGACCACGTCGCCACCAGATGTCACCACTTCGCTGTCAGTGCTCGTGCTCTCGTCAAGGCTTCGCTCGCACTGCAAGGTGGCGCCACCCGAGCCGCTCTGCTCTGCGGCGGACGCTGCGCAGTGCTGCCCCCTGCTGGCAGACGCTGTCGTCGTCTGTTTCTGACACGCTCTCTGTCTCTCTCGCATCGCAGTGATGATTTTGACGAAATGAGAATCGTGCTTTTTCACTGGAAAGAGAAATCATGAAGGGAGACTGAAAAGGTACATCGTGCAGGTTGTAAAATTGACTACGTCTCAAATTTACATGAAAGGTAGGTACTAACGGCACTAAATGTATCGCCAAATTCCCACCTGATAAGATTGTTTCTCAACTAGTTAAAAATCCAAAAAACCTGGACGATTTGATATTATGACCCCGACATTAATTGCTTGCTATGGGCTATATATGAGTCACGAGTGTATGTTTACATTGAACAATATAGTAAAATAGGAAGTATAATGCAGCAATTTAACCATAAAAAGTAAACAGAATTACTTACATTTTGTGAAAAAGTGGAATTTTTTTTTAACTTTTACTATTAACGGTGACGTAATCACTTTAACCATTTAGCGTGAGGTAAATTGCACGCAGCTCTAAAATTAGCACACGTCCTATGAACGTCATCATTAAAGAAAGAAATCACATCGTAAGATATGACATATTATTCGGTTGGTCTTCCTGGTGAACTTTTTCTCCCATTACTCAAATATCAACAGCCACGCGATGTAAAGGATCAGGGGGGGGGAACACGTACGGTATTCCTCCTTGTTTTTCTCGAGCTTGGACGGCGAGGCAGCACGCTGGTAAGGAAGCTTGCTCTGCGTGACTGTTCCCTTCCTCACCCTCTCTGCCTTCTCTACCTCCGCCACGAGCGCCGGAACTGAAACAACGCATTTAAGCAACTACCAAAATCACAGACGTGCAGGCAGGCACACGTCCCTGTATAACTACAGATCTAAACATGTTATCAATCCTCCCCAACATTGTTGCAAAAGTTAGGATTACTCACGAGCACTTCAACCCTAAGAAATCTTAATTACTGTAGCACTTTTACTAATTACTATAGCGTACATTAACTGCATTTTTTCTAGCGACTAGGAAAACTACCAAAGTAGGAATGTGAGATGGAAGTAGACTCAAGTAGTGAATCTATCTACGTTAGAACGAGGGGGGGATACAGGATCGCCACGCAACCTTGCGGACCTTCGTACCTGGGCGGGGATGCAGCGAGTCACACTCTGCATTATAGAGCAGCAGAAACTCCTGGTGCCTTCTCACCAACACCTGCCAATAGATCCACAAACGAGCCGCATTAACGCACATGCGACTTGGGCAACCGCCGCCACGCCCACCCACCGAGTTGAAAGTGAATCATTAACCGTGAGACATCAAGAGACGGTATATTGGGTATAAATGGTGTGCATATTGGTGGACATGATTGTGCATGTTCGAAATGTGCAAAGCTTTCTCAGTCCTTTGTTAACTCTTGTTTTCTTAACCTTTGTTTTCTCCGCTTGCAATGCCAAAGCCTAACCGGAAATCCAAAAAACAACAATTTTAGTAAAAAACTTCAATGTCAAAAATAAACCATCAAAAAACAACAACTAAATCCCCAAGAATAGAAAAACTAATGATGATAATGCTCAATGGCAAAGTTACTCCAGCCGCAGCTGTTAGGCACCTGTCTGTTTCCCTGTGTAGATACTCCATGCTCCTTCAGTCTAGACTTTAACTGCTTATCCGATAGCAGCGTGTACACCAGCTTCGGCAACGGCCGACGGCCAGGCAACCTGATGAAAATCGATGCAAGGTTATCGTTAATCGAAACCAACCAACATCTTATACTCAGCGTACCTCAAAGCATCGTGACTCGCTGTACATATAAACAATTCATTCGCCTAATAGACAGAATGAAATGCTAGCAGTATCTTAGCAGCTACTAAAATGATTCAAATGACCTTCAACATTTACATATCGAACCGTTACATATCTCCTCCGATGAACTCGTACTGTACAGCATGCATTCCCTGTCACAATACCTGCACGAACCAGTATCTCAGTATCTCAGTATCCGAGCATACCCTCTACAAGTAAGATTCGTGGGTACTCACTTGACCGGTGGTTTCAGACTCTCCTGTTGCTGTGTGAGGCATTTATCTAGATGCAAGTTGATGTAGTGTTGCTTGACCAACGCTCTGCACACAGGACAGGTCACTGCAAGAGCCAGGGAAAAGCTGCTGATATCGTGTATGCACAGGCACAGGACTGCGCCGTGGGAAAGCAACGAAAATGTTAAGCTCGGTTGGAAGTGACTGCGTGCAATCTGACAGGAAACGAGAGATGGAAATTGATATGAATGACAAAGAAACAAGTTGTCAAGGTAGTGAAGAACTTGTGCATAACGAAGAGAACAATAATGTCTGCTATGCTTTTACGCAACAGTGTCATACACAACAATAAATACGGGTCCATGTTTCTAAAATTCCTGTTCCTAATTAATTTTAATTATTCGTAATTAATGTTCCTAAATTGGTTTGTTTTTAATATGGAGCAATACGACAATAGAAGTACATTGTTCACCTTCACAAGCAGGCTCGGCACTTGGTGTGCTGGTCGCACAGGGAGGTGGCACGCTCGTTACAGTCTCCTCCTGAATTGCTGAAGTAGATGAAGAATACACCACGGAGGTGGTTGGCTTCGGTAATCTCAATGATGCCTCCGATGTCGTCTCACTCGTCTGCTGTTCTGGAAACTGTGTTGGTGTATTGGGAATCCTTACACCTTCCTCCCCATCCCTCTGCTTCTGCTGCTGTTGCTGCTGCTGCTGCTGCTGGGGTAACAGAGGCTTTTTGTTGTCCATTCTTGCAGTCTTTTCACCTTCGCTTTGCTGCTGCTGTGGTAGCCCATGGGATTCGTCATACACTCTCATAGCCTCTGTTCCTTCGTTCTTCTGTTTCTGCAGTAAATATTTATACTCAGTCATGAATGAATGTAAAACCCTGCTCTAAACGTGTCGACTTGCATCTAAAGCTGACTGAATTATGAAACTGTTTGCTATTATGAAAACGTTATGATAGTGAGGTGATATATTACGTGCTTTGAGACAGATTCGTGAATGTTTGGTGCTTATTCATAAAATTTAGACCCCAACACATTTGGCAATGCAACCTTTAGAAATCACTTGGGTAATTTATATACTTGGAAAATAATACAAAAAGCACTATTATCAGTAGAAAAACTTAATAATAAACAGTTATACCGGCTTTCGTTCCAATTCCAACCTAGGTCGTTTTGCATCCCTTAGGTTGATGGTGTCAGCTCCTATTCGCTTTGACGGGGTTTCGACAGCTGGTGCTTTTTCAGATGATGCCTTTACAAGTTTCAAAAGGGTTGGTCTGTAATCATAAAATTTCAAAATGACTGGAATAAACCAAGAGCATAACACAGAAATGCCAATTTCCATCACGTTTCTACATTTATACTATTGTGGTGCTTCAACGCTGGCAGTATACCATGACCTTACCTTAACTGTAGGAAATGTCTCACAATATCATCCAGGAGTCTATTGTTTCTCAGTTCTGGTTCGGAAACAGCCTATATAAAGAACACAGTGCAGTATCAGTTTACTATTGATCCAGTTGTGTGATCGACATGTACTAGTGATGAAAAGCTTCAGAAGCAGACTTTCCATATTTAAATGAAGTAACTCACCATCGAACATGTCGGACAGCGAGTCTTATAACCGATGTAGCGTCTTATGCACAGCGAACAGTCTGAAAATACAGCATAGCAGCCAGTAAGTTCTCGCCAAGTACTTTACATTTCACACATAATCCCTAGCGTGATCTTAACAATTTTCCTAATCCGTCCTAGACTCCTAATACCTAATATTTAAATATGAGTGTTATAAAGTAAGATTAATTTTCATTACTGCTTATCTACCTGACATCAAATTCAATGCACATTACCTTTAAATCTACACCATATAATAACCTCATGCTATTTTTATATTATTCAGTGTATGGAATACATTTTTGTCACCATGAAATGAATTAATTATTTAATTAATCACAGGCATCAGCCTTTGAGGCAGGCATACAAAAGCTAACCAACACTAGAGCTGATAGGGTCTATGTCCCCCAGGGTACTGCCGCAACGTACCCTGGGTACGGTCCGGTATACCGGAACGTACCCTGGTAACTATCTGATATGCCGGACCGTACCTTGCTTACTCCCTACCGTACCCTGATTGTCCCTGTTCCACCCACTACTGATGTCGCAAAATTTTAAAATTAAATAGACAGACAGACCTGTATGATATCTTTATAAAGTTGGATTGGAGTATGAAACTGTGAAAGCAAGAAGAAATTTTAACCTATATACACTGATGCGCGCAATCCTTTTGCAAATATCGGGATGATCGGGAATGCCTTTTCCTTTCGACATTTTCACGCATTTTCGCGCCACATTTTTGAAAGATGGCTCGAAGTGTTGTGGTGGAACAGGGAAATTTGTATGATTATCTTAATGGGTTGGAAACGTATAGACTCGCTGACACTTGTTGAAACGGTCGAGAGGTGAAACGTAACAGGGTAAAGATTACGAATATTTTGCGGGAACGGACCCGAAACAAAGAACGGGAGCATAAAGCGGCACGTTTCCTGCCGACAAGCGGTATGTATTACAACATCGGCTGAAAGTCAGGGTACGGTTTGGAGTAGGCGAGGTACGGTCCGGCATATTAATTATTAGATAGGTATTTAATTATTAGGTATCTAATTATTAGGTAGTTAGCAGGGTACGTTGCGGTATACCGGACCGTACCCAGGGTACGTTCCGGCAGTACCCTGGGGGACATAGACCCTATCAGTATCAGCAACACTAGAAAGTTCAGATTACTCACAGTTGTGAGAGCAGTTTGGCAGAATCATGGACACGTTGATGAAGTCGTAGCAGATCGGACATCGCAAGGCGCCATCCAAACCCTTCCAATGCGAAACAAAGTCATTCATTATTCAATGATTAGGACCAAGCATTGTAGAGCATCACTCGGTTTTGATTACTGAACGGTCAACGATTGGAACGGTCAAGGATGAAGGAAGTAAACAAACGAAATCAATCTTCCCGCCGGTGAACTAACCTGTAATTCTTGCCATTCTTTAGGCCAGTCGGTAGGAAACGTTTCTTCTACAACGGCCATAACAACAGTTTTTGTTTGCACCTAAACTCTAAATACCTAGAGCGAAAATGAACGTTTTGGTTACATTTACGTATGCATCCTAGTTTCCCGCCATACTTCTTATGTTGCACCGATGATACGGTGCTAAGTGAACACGATTACAATTTTATACTTTTTAGTTTTATATGTGTGAAATAAAGTAAACCGTAGCTTTTTGTATGTACCTAAACTTTTAAAAATAGCTTAATGTTATTTCAATATTATTTACTTATATATATAGCAGATTACGTTAAGTCTTATTAAAATATCTACTATCGCCATCGTCGCATTCAGGGATACCCCCTTATTACATTATTGCGTATATTTTCTTATCTTTTATGCGCTATTATATATTGTATAATTGCATATCCGGATAATTTATGGGATAAAACATAAGAAACATGCGCTTAAGCATATTTAGCGCGTTTTAATAACGCATGCTTATAATGCAGACATATACAAAAAACGTCACGAGATAATTACCTCTACATACCTAGGCTACATAGGTATTCTATGCATTCTAGGTATTCTATGCATATATATGTTCGTGGTATATTGGATACTTTTGTTTTATATAGTCAAAAGTGCTTTTAATTACGTGAAGAGCAGCTATAGCGAGCACACAGCCCATTATTATATATTATATTAATTATTGTATTATTATAGGGATTAAAATACTGGAATGTTAGCCAGGTATACTACTTAATTAGCATGCGTGTATGTTAATTAGAAGAAGGAGTTGAAGTTGTTATAATATTTGAACCATCCTGCCCAGTATGTCCAGCCCAACATCCGGATATGCATTTCCGCATATGACATATGTCCCTCTTCCTCTGAGAACGCAACAAGGAAATATCTGCCCACCACAAGAACACGTCGACGTGAATGCTAGGATGTGCGTATCTATAAAACGTAACCGAGTAAGGCTTGTCTAAAGGGAGCAACAGAAATTCAGGAATCTAGCTGCATATCAACGAAGAGAGAGAGAGAGAGAGTGCGCGATAGATAGATAAATAGATAGACGCAGAGAGATAAATAGATCGTGAGGGAGACAAACAGACAGACAGACACTAAGAGAGAGGACATTTTGTGATGTGTGGGAGATTACAAGTATCACGAATGGCTGCCTGCTCACGGTATTAACAAGACTAAAACCGTGAGTGCAACCATAACTCCGAAAGTTTCACAGAAGTGAAGCCGATATAATTTCTACTCGATCGTCAACCGAAGTTGTCAACGCAGACGACAGGATGGATGCTGACAGCTGACAAGCGCTGTGACATAGTTTTGCAGGGTGAAGAGAGTAGATGAGAGACACACGGAGTAAGATGGCGGTCTGGGTGCTAGTGACAGCAGCAATGTCATTGTTGTCTCTCACCTCGGTGCATTCTGATTGTGAGTATAACCAGGAGTGAATAATAGAGAATCTCTATTAGATAGTCGAGAATCTCTATTATTCACTCCTGGTATAATTAATTATGTTACTAGAGTCAGTCATCAGACTGGTGCGGGTCGGTATATACTTCCAACAGGATCAGTGTTGTTCATATATATATACACACACACACACATATATATATATATATATATATATATGCTGCCACTTTATTCTGCATGCCGTGGATGAGAAGGATATACCATGAGGGAGATATGTTACCGAAGAGGGGGCAGATAGGAAGGAGGAGGAGGAGGAGGAGGAGGAGGAGGAGGAGGAGAAGAAGAAGGATGAGGGGTCATTATTATTAGAATTAAATACTAAATTATACATACCCCATGCTATCGAGAACTCTATAACGCCATTATCATTGAGCTAACCAAATCTTTAAATTATAAATAAAACGCTTTTACGAAATAAATCCATTATATAACAGTTTTGCGAGTGGCGTTATACTACATACACACCTGCTCGTTGCAGCCGCATCGACATTTCGCTGTGATGCGGACTACCTGCAGAATTTCACGAACTGGGAAGCAGACATCAACACACGTGAGACGCCACAAGGCTTCATAGAGAGTCCCAACTACCCGAACCATTCCCCAACCTACGAAGGCAGTAAGAAAGCTCCTCGCGCCTGCTCGTGGCTGCTGAGAGGCGACAACATAGAACTGTACGTGGAGGAATTCGACGTAGAAGCTGCGAACACGAGCGGAGATTATGTCCAGGTTAAGGGGGGGACGGTGTACCGGGGAGTTCTGTCGTGGGGCGAGCAGATCGCTGTCGACAGAGGCGACGTGCGCGTTTATTTCTACATCAATCAAGTGGTAGCGAGTCGAGGATTCAGAATCAAGTTCATCGGTGAGTATTATGTGATGTTCGCGCACGTTCGCACGCACGCATTCTCCCGCAAAATACAAGGCGGGTGATTAGACACTCTAAGTGAAAGATCGAGTACATTCCTGTTGTCGAACTCGGATTTATACCCCCCCCCCCGCCACACACACACACATTCATACCATCAAGTCTATCGGTGAGCAATGTTCGCGCACGCACGCACGCACACGCAGACACATACACACACACGCACGCACTCACGTACACAAGAACGCACACAAGAACGCACGCACGCACGTACGTATTAATTTGATCCGGATCACCATCAAAATCTAATCAATTCTAAATTAGCCCATTTCTGACCTATCCTGAAAATGTTATGACAATCCGTCCATAACTTTTTCAGTTAGGCTGTACACAAACAAACAAACGCACAAACCCACAATCCAACAAACACACGCCGGTGAAAACATAACCTCCTGCCAACCCCTTGGCGGATGTAACTATGTATATCCTGGTATCTAACTACCCCCGGCCCGACGCGTATACTATCAAACAGCTTCACGGGTTTGTCGATCTTTACTCTTTTTGTTCGGTAGCTATACTTGCTACGAAGTTGAAGCAATGACACTTGTTTCAGCGTTGCCGACGTTTCAATGCGACGCGAGGTATCTGAAAGATGAAGTATCGTGGCAGAAAGTCATCGACACCAGCGATATTCCCCAGGGCTTCATCGAGAGTCCGAACTACCCTCGCGTCGCTCCCAGCTACGGACTGGTCCAATATGACCGCACGTGCAAGTGGATTCTGAAAGGAAGCGACCTAGAAATCGAAATAAAATACTTTGAGTTGGAGAGCGATAATTCGGAAACGTTTCTCCAGTTTAACAACGGTGCGATGTACAGAGGCCAGGAGCTTCATGCGGGAGATATAATCCCGACAGGAAACGGCGACATGACAATACGTTTCTCCATCGACCAGTACGGATCCGAGAACAAGGGGTTCAGCATTAAATTCATGGGTAAGTTAGTGTGCCATTCGTTGTCGATCCATTAGCAAGCTCATACCAATGTGACAACAAAGCGATATTCCTCTAAATTTCGAACACAATATATATATATATATACATAGAACAATACAAAGAAAATACGATATGTATGTAGCCACTGTATTGCCGTGTACAAAACCACAATTCGGATAGTTCCTCCAAGCATTCCCAATTCATGTCTAGAACTCTCAAGCGTAACAACACTAACCTCGCCCGAAACCACGGTGCCAACAACAACAACCACGATGGAAACCACAATCGCCATAGTAACCAGTGACATCACGGCATCTGTGACAACCGCGACACTACCGGCGTCTGCAGGTATGGGTGATGTAATACACTGTCCTAGAGATTAACATCGCTGTATCACATTGTATGAGAGATTCGCAATTTCATGATGCGATGTACTATGCAATGTATGAGCTAAACAATAAACGTACCTTGCATGTGTTACATATTATGAGAGATTAACATTGTTACAGGCGCATGCCCTGCGAAGTAATACTGTTCGTTATTGTCTGCAACGCAACGTCAACATAGTATTACATTTACTCTTAGACTATTTAAACGCAAATAATGTTCTTCGTGTTTAGTTAAAACCCTACCCACGGGCGTGAGCAGCAGGCTTAATGAAGAAGGTACAAGGCAGGACAATTTAGGCATTGGCTCATTTTCTACAGCTTTAGTAGCAGGACTCGTATCAGGAATTGGAGCTATCATCATCATCGTCATCATCGCTGTGGTTATCATCTGTGTTCGCCGTCGAAGGTTAATATATGTTCTGCCATATTCCGCGGATTTCATAGTAGTATGTCTGACCTTCTCTCCGTCATGTGAATATTTAACAATACGTACTCTCGGTAAAATTACACCTAATTTTATACGTGTTCCCGTAACACACATTGTACAGAAACATGGAGTTGATTTAATTAATGTATGATATATATTTATCTATCTACAGGAAGAGAGTAATGAGACATTCTCCGGTAGATGGCAGCACTTTCGTGACTTTCACAACGGCAGCCACGAATCAGCAGACAGATTCTAGCACCATAAAAATTCAGGAAAAAAGCGTTGGTGAGACGCCAGTCACTACATCGCAAGTAAATAACACCAGTGGCGTTACCTCTATGGAGAACAATGACATTTACGAGTCTGCTGGTAACGGACTCGTTGGTAATGACATATACGAGAGTGCAACCACTACAGGGAACGTCCGTGCTGCTAGTGGCGCCCCCGGCATGGACAACAATGACATATACGAATCTGCTGATTACGGACTTGTTGGTAATGAGATATATGATAGTGCAACCCCTACAGGGAACACAAATAACGCGAGTGGCGCCACCTCTATGGACAACAATGACATATACGAGTCTGTTGATAACGGACTTGTTGGTAATGAGATATATGAGACACCAGACGCTAGTGGGCACGTCGATAGCGCGGGTGGCGCCCCCTGCCTGGAGAACAATGACATTTACAAGGCCTCTGATAATTCAAGCCTTCACGATGATCACCAATACGAAAGTGTGCTTGATATGTAAAATCGGACCAAAGTTACACTACACGCTACATTAATCTCACAAGCTATACGCGCTGCAGCCATGATGCAGTGGTACGCTAGCATCGCCTCTACAAAGACATCAGTGGCGCCTCCTGCCAAGAGAAAAACAACGTTTTACGAGATTTCGGATATGTCTAAGTAAAATTTGCAACAATAGCGGATGATCAGTGATACGATGAAAATGACAATTATTGTATGTATGAGAATAGATGTTACATCACGTCAAACAGTCACCACTCTATAATAACAACAAATCTATATGTCAGAATATATTACCTTATCTATAAGCATTATTGTTTCTCTTTTGTTTTAGTGTTGAGGCTCACGAACATGGGCAAAACTACTAAGAAACTATAATACCAAACGTAGATAGGCGTATACGTAGACGTAGAGTGGGCGGGGCGGACTTGATGCTGCTGCCAGTGGTCAAAACTTTAAAACTAGAGACAGCACAGTTTTTCGGCAGTCCTAAATGCCAGGCTATAATCCTATCGTACCTGGCAAATAATAATCACGGTACTCACCTGCGCACACCTCTCGTTATCTAGACTGTCACCCAGTCGTCACGGTCAAAGAGCAGTCTGTTTGAGTGCGCTCAAGCAGTGCGGATGAAATGACGCTAGGGCCGTCTACGTTACGCGTAGCTGCTTTGTCCCCGCTTGTGGGTGTAGTAGCTGATGCTTACCTACCAGTAGAGCGAGAATGACGGTGGCAGTGGTAGCAGCGGGCGCGGCTGCCAGTTCAAACGTCGATGTCCGTGAGTGAGAGAGTGAGTGTGAGAGTGTACCGCATTCACGCGTGTGACTGCAGCGAGCCTAACCGCTACTTCCTCTCTATATATATGTGTGAGGGCGGTAACACGCCGAGGTATCGCTGGCGGGGATCGTAGCATCGTCCACCGACTCTGACCGAGTATAAAGTTATATACGAGTTACAACTGCGTTCGTCATCAGAAGCGTGTGTAAGGGGCGGTGTTGTTCTACGCAGGGCGGTCTACAGCAGCAGCCGACACAGGGGCTGAGGAAGGCGGATACACATCTATAAACCTACTACGCATGAACGCGAGTAGATACAGTTAATTTCATCAACACCGGTTAGACATCGAAGACACGTACGTATGTTACTATATGTATGTATAAACTCGGATATATCTCCAGGAATGGTCATACATCGAAATACGCGTGTGTATTGACTGACGTTGGTCGCACAGGCTGGTTCGGATAACTACGGCTTGCTGTGGTAATCGTCTTCTTGCTCCGACCATCGTCGCCATCATCCCAGCAACCGCCCGATGTCACCAACGTCGACTCTCGTGCACGCGTGATTAGTATCCGCGTGCGTGCGTGCGTGCGTGCGTGCGTGCGTGCGTGCGTGTGAAGCACACACACGCGCATCTGTGCTAGGAGGCGGTGTGGGACATGGCCGGACGCGCGCCGGACGGTTGCAGCATTCACGGAGTATCCACGACAACGAACCAAAGGAAGCAGGAAGCCATACTGTAGCCGCTCGCAGCGACGATGGCTAGGGAGCTAGGAAGCTGCCTGCTCCTGATCCTCATGACTGGAGCAGCAGTGAGTCAAGGTGGGTAGAAGGAACACGGCCGGGCCGTCAAACAACATGGGTGCTCGAGGGTCGGGGTGGGGTGAGGGTCGACGGTAGGGGTCGGGGTCGAGGGTAAGGGTCAAGGGTGTGGATGGGGTCGAAGGTATGGGTCGGGGATCGAGGGTAGGGATCGGGTTGGGGGTGTGGGCGGGGGTTGGGGTGGGTGGTGATTGTAGGGGGTTGAATTCATGAAGACGTTGAGTGGACGTTGTTAGCCACGGGTACTTGTAACGTAATAACAACAACAACAACAACAACAACAACAACAACAACAACAACAACAATAATAATAATAATAATAATAATAATAATAACTACATTGAAGAAATGTCGAGAGTTCTAATAACTATTGTGGATTTCATCCATTCGTCGCTTATGTATGTGGTCATGCAGGAACCAACTAACACGCTTTAATTCTATTATTATTCGACGATTTGAATGGACGAGAACGATTAAACATCGAATATATGACTATAAAAGTGAAGGTTCATACATCATGCACGTCATATTTACATGCACTTATAAATCATGATCTAATTCTCACATATAGGATGTGACGGCTGGTTAATATGCATTAAAGTTCATCGCAATAATGAGCTAATAATGACAAATTATGTACAATTGACAAATTAACAATTTACATAATGACAATCTGTCATTATTAGCTCCTGGTGGCGATGAACTTTAAT